GTCTTGACTGACCTGAAATATAATGTGGAAATGTATCTTACCTTCAGGGATTAACTAGCGGCTTGGGATCTGCACCAAGTAAATCATTGGTTACTTTACTGATGTGTGACTCAGTAGAAAATGGGTGAGACTATTAGCAAAAGGAAAATTTCATCAATAAAAATATCACTCTCGTCAGCTAATCTAAATACCTTGAATATAATTTAGAAGTATTGTTCGTCAAGGAAGGAATAACACAACGGCCAGGTCTTACAGCGACAGAAAATGAAAATTGTGTAAATCCCGGTGGTGTGCGGCGCGGTAGTCTCCTATTGGCTACTGTGTTTCAGGTCAGTTATCTAGTCAATTAATTTCAATGTCGAGGAGCGAGAGAATATAATTTTCCTCAATATATAATCAACTGAGCACCCGTTTAGAACATTGACTTTGTGGTGACATCAAGTACTCACGGCTAATCCATCCGTTAGTAAAGTTATCTCGCCATTCAACAACAACAAGAGGTTTCCGTTTACTGCTAATTTCATTTGGGTATGAGTAAATCCCTCAACTAATTGTAATTCTCACTAGAAAAATTATTTAAACAGATATTAATGGTTTATTTTCACGAAAACATTGTGAGAGAGGATGGGATGTGATGGTGAAGTAGACAACACAGACAACAGTATTCAGTGTCTCGTTGTCTTGAGCGACTTTGAGGGAAAAACTTGAGGGTAAAGTGATCACGTGTATTAGGGGGGCGTTATTGACCCGAGATAACCAGACGCTACATAACCGTGTCCCAACTACGGGTAACAGACGAGTTGTGTGAGCTTTGAGGAGTCTGTATTTGACACATAGTTGGGTTAAGACGTTTGACATCTGGCTGAGGTTAGACACTTGATACTTGACTGAGGTAAGACACTTGACATCTGGCTGGGATAATATCAGAAATATATTGAGATAATCACTACAAGATATTGATCAACACAGTTTTTCAAGGAACAAAATATGAATAATAAAGTTTATTTTCTTTGACCTTAGCATTGTCGAGTGGTATTAACAGTTCCCTTCTATTTTGTTTCATTTTATTGAACTGAAAAATAAAAACAATGTAAATAGCTTCTGCTTCCGAAATAAAAACACAACAGGAGCGAAGTAAAAAAAAAAAAAACAATAGCAAGTTAGATTATACAATAGTGGGTCTTTTGAGCGCCGAAACTCAATTGAAAACTCACCTGACTCACATTAACACAAAACAGGTGAAAATTAACTTACAAAAGGCGGGAACACATAGAGACTTAATCATAGTAAAATGTGTTACAAAATACAGAGGAAATTACATCGCCTCATATACAATATCTAATTAAATGTACATCCAGGAATTCCCGGCTATATCAAGGTACATAAATTATAGTTTATTGTAAAAAATGTGAATAACAAGTATTAGTTAAGAAAATATTTGGCAACACTGTTTGCTAAGAATAGTAGGATCTCCTTCCTAGTGAGACACATTCCTTACCTATTGGAATCTGTAACTTGTGTGTCTCATCTATAAACCTAACCAATGTTTACTAAGTTCCTTCCTAAATCTAAATTACTCTTAAGTCCTTCTTAACTTCTTTTGTCTTGATAAGATAGTTTAAGTATCTTATTTATATTACCCTTGTTTAACCCCATCTTCCATTTGTAGGTACATTTGGACGTCCCTGAGATAGTCTCTAAAAGCGCCGCTGCCCCTGGAAGTGTCCCTGAGGTCGCCGCCGCTCCTGGAAGGGTGCCTGGTCGAGTGGCCACCCATGGAAGGGTGCCTGGAGGCACCGCCTTCCCTAGGAGATTCTTTGGGAGCGCCGCCGTCCCTGGGAGGGACCATAGAGGCGCCACCGCCCTGAGAGGGTCCCTGGGGAACTCACCGCCTCTGAAAGGGTCCCTAAGGACGCCCTCATCCCTGGGAGGACCTCTAGGGGAACTGTCGCCCTTGAGAGAGCCCCTGGAAGCACCGCCACCCTTAGGAGGGTCCCAGGGGCGCCACTGCACCTGTGAGGGTCCCTGAGAGGGCCTCTGAGAGCGCGAGCGCTGCAGGGCCCCTGAGAGCAGTAGTTTTTGCGCTATTTGAAACTCTGGGAGATGCTGAGTTAAATAAATAAATACACAGCCCATCACATTTCAAGTATCATCGCATTCTGAAAAAGCTAACGGAGAATAATATCCAACAGGAAAACATAAGTTGAGGTCTTGTGCCGACTGACTGTTCTCCTCTCCTATTGGCTGTAATTTTGTGGGTTAAAAGAATAGTCCACCAATCATAGTTCAGTAAGGGACTGCTGGAAGTATGTAATATTTATGAAACAACGAACAAGCATGCCCGTCGTCCGTGGTAGGGTCCTTGCAGGTGCCGCCGTCACAGAGAGGGGCACTTAGAGAGTCCCTAGGGGCGCCGCTGTCCCTGGAAGTGTCTATGGGGGTGCTACCGCCTGTGGGAGGGTCCCTGGGGGCGCCCTCGCCCCTGAGTGGGCCCCTAGGACCGCCACCACCCCTGGGATGGTTTCTGGGGGCGCCACTGTCCCTGGGAGTGTCCATGGGGGCTCCGACGCCCTCTGGGAAAGACTCTGGGGATGTTGCCACCCCTGGGAGTGTCCCTGGGTAATCCCTGGTGATCTCGACGCCCCCCTGGGAGGGTCCTTGGGGGCTCCACCGTCCCTGAGAGGGTCCCTTGGTGCGCTGCAGCTCCTGGAACGGTCCCTGGGTCCGCCGCTGCTCCTGGGAGGGTCCCTGGGGAACCTGCCGTCTCTGAAAGGGTCCCTAGGGACGTCACCATTCCTGGGAGGACTTCTAGGGGCGCCGTCGTTCTGAGAAAGTCCCTGTGGGGCACCACTACCTTTTGGAGGGTCCCTGGGGGCGCCACTGCCCCTGTGAGGGTCCCTGAGGCGCCGCCGTCCCTGAGAGGGCCGCTGGGAGCGCCAGACCTGTAGGGCCTCTGGGTGCAGTAGTTTTTGCGCTATTTTGAACTCTGGGAGGAGCTGAGTTAAATAAATAAATACACAGCCCATCACATTTCAAGTATCATCGCATTCTGAAGAAGGTAACGGCGAATAATATCCAACAGGAAAACATAAGTTGTGGTGTTGTGCTGACTGACTGCTCTCTTCTCCTATTGGCTGTAATATGGTGGGGTTAAAAGAATAGTCCACCAATCATAGTTCAGCACAGGGCCGGATTCTGGAGTGGGCAAAGTGGGCAGCTGCCCAGGGGCCACCACATATTACAATATTTTTATTTGTTTATTCATTTGGATTATTTTTATATTCATTCTTTAAAATTCATGTTTACCTATTCCATCACGTAAACTATGTTCAGCAAGAAGCGTGATAGAAATTAGGCTAGCTTCTCCTTGAAATTCATGAATACCTGGTTTTCCTATGAACCGTAAATTTTTAATGAAGGCTATTGTTTGTGTTGCTAATAATATATTTAGAATTCCACAAATTTTTGACATGTGCAGTAGTAGCTATATCAGGGCTGGTTGACTTGAAACCACATGAATGACTCCAGTCATGTCTCACTTTTGTGTGTGTGTGTGTGTGTTGGGAATTTGTACACTATCAATAAATATACAGTTAATTAAAAATTTCTCAATGTTCTAATTTCCCCAATATAACTGCATATAGCTTCAAAATTCTCCAAAGATGTGTTCAAATTTCAAAATTTTCCCGGGAGGCTTACAGCGCCCCCCCAAAACTCCCAGATGTTTAGGCTCGCTTCACGCGCCACCCTACCCTCTTGGGTAGTTATAATGAGTGGGGCCTCCACAAAGAGGATGCCCATGGGCCTCCACACGTCTAAATCCGGCACTGGTTCAGCAAGGGACTGCTGGAAGTATGTAATATATATGAAACAACGAACAAGTATTTCATAGGGTCCATGGTACCCTTGGAAGGGTCCCTGGGGGGACACCGCCTGTGGAAGGGTCCCTGGAGGCGCCATCGTCCCTAGGAGGGTCCATGGGGCGCTACCACCCCTGTGGAGGATCTCTGCAAGAGTCCCTGGGGGAGCCACTGTCTCTGGGAGTGTCCATGGAGGCGCCACCGCCTCTAGGAGGGTAGAAGGAGGCGCTGCTGTCCCTGGAAGTGTCGATGGGGACATCACCGCCTGTGGGAAGGTTCCTGGGAGCGTCACTGTACCTGGTAAGGTCCCTGGGAACGCCGCCGCCCCTTAGAGGGTCCCTGGAAGTGTCACTTATTAAGCCACAGCCCTTGTGAAAGTCCCTCGTGGTGCCCCCGACCCTCAGTGGGTTCCTGGTAGCATCACCATGCTTGGGAGGGCCTATGAGGGCACCGCCGCTTCTGAGAGGGCCTCTGGGAGCACCAGACCTGTGGGCCCCTGGGTGCAGTAGTTTTGTGCTATTTAGAACTCTGGGAGATGCAACGTTAAATAAGTACACCGCCCATGACATTTCCAGTATCATCGCATTCTGAAAAAGGTAACGGAGAATAATATCCAACAGGAAAACATAAGTTGTGGTGTTGTGCTGACTGACTGTTCTCTTCTCCTATTGGCTGTAATTTGGCGGGTTAAACGAATAGTCCACCAATCATAGTTCAGCAAGGGACTGCTGGAAGTATGTAATATATGTGAAACAACGAACAAGTATGCCATAGAGTCCTTGGTACCCTTGGAAGGGTCCCTGGGGAAACACCGCCTCTGGGAGGGTCCCTGTAGGCGCCACCGTCCCAAGGAGAGTCCTTGGGGCGCCGCCACCCCTGTGGAGAGTCTCTGTAAAAGTCCCTGGGGGAGCCACTGTCCCAGGGAGTGTCTATGGGGGCGCCACCACCGCTGGGAGGGTACAAGGGGGCGCTGCTGCCCCTGGGAGGGGCACTGTAAGAGTCCCTGGAGGCGCTGCTGTCCCTAGGAGTGTCCTTGGAGGCGCCGCCGCCCATAAGTGGGCCCCTAGGAACGCCACCACCCCTGGGATGGTTCCTGGGGACACCGCCCTTCCGTGGGAGTGTCCATGGATCGCCGACGCCCACTCGGAAAGACCCTGGAGGTGCTGCTGCTCCCGGGAGTGTCGCTGGGTGATCCCTGGGGATGTCACCGCCCCTGGAAGTGTAATATGGAGCTCCACCGTCCCTGAGATGGTCTCTAAATGCCCTGCTGCCCCTGGAAGGGTCCCTCGGGTCGCTGCCGCTCCTGGGAGGGTCCCTGGGCGTGTCGCCACCCCTGGGAGGGTGCCTGAAGGTACCCCCTTCCCTGGCAGGGTCCTTGGCAGCGCTGCCGTCCCTGGGAGGGACCATGGAGGCACCACCGCTTTGAGAGGGTCCCTGGGAACTTACCGCCTCTGAAAGGGTCCCTAGAGATGCCACCATCCCCGGGAGGACCTCTAGGGGAACTGTCGACCTTGAGAGAGCCCCTGGAGGCACCGCCACCCTTAGGAAGGTCACTGGGGGCGCTACTGCACCTGTGAAGTTCTCTGAGGTGCCACCGTCCCTGAGAGGACCTCTGAGAGCACGAGCCCTGTAGGGTCCCCGAGTGTAGTTTTTGCACTATTTGGAACTCTGGGAGATGTTGAGTTAAATAAATACACAGCCCATCACAATTCCAGTATCATCGCATCCTGAAGAAGGTAACAGGGAATAATATCCAACAGGAAAACATAAGTTGAGGTGTTGTGCTGACTGACTGTTCTCTTCTCCTATTGGCTGTAATTTGGCGGGTTAAACGAATAGTCCACCAATCATAGTTCAGCAAGGGACTGCTGGAAGTATGTAATATATATGAAACAACGAACAAGTATGCCATAGAGTCCTTGGTATCCTTGGAAGGGTCCCTGGGGGGACACGGCCTCTGTTAGGGTCCCTAGAGGCGCCACCGTCCCTATGAGAGTCCTTGGGGCGCCGCCACCCCTGTGGAGGGTCTCTGCAAAAGTCCCTGGGGGAGCCACTGTCCCTGGGAGTGTCTATGGGAGCACCACCGCCTCTGGGAAGGTACAAGGGGGCGCTGCTGCCCCTGAGTGAACCCCTGGGAACGCCACCCCCCCCGGGTATGTTCCCTTGGGGCGTTGCTGTCCCTGGAAGTGTCCATGGGGACATCACCGCCTGTGGGAAGGTTCCTGGGAGCGTCACTGTACCTGGTAAGGTCCCTGGGGGCGCCGCCGCCCCTTAGAGGGTCCCTGGGAGTGTCACTTGTTAAGCCATAGCCCTTGAGAAAGTCCCTCGTGGTTCCCACGCCCCTCAGTGGGCCCCTGGTGGCGCCACCATGCTTGGGAGGCCCCTGAGGGCACCGCCGCTCCTGAGAGGGCCTCTGGGAGCACCAGACCTGTGGGCCCCTGGGTGCAGTAGTTTTGTGCTATTTAGAACTCTGGGAGATGCAACGTTAAATAAGTACACCGCCCATGACATTTCCAGTATCATCGCATTCTGAAAAAGGTAACGGAGAATAATATCCAACAGGAAAACATAAGTTGTGGTGTTGTGCTGACTGACTGTTCTCTTCTCCTATTGGCTGTAATTTGGCGGGTTAAACGAATAGTCCACCAATCATAGTTCAGCAAGGGACTGCTGGAAGTATGTAATATATATGAAACAACGAACAAGTATGCCATAGAGTCCTTGGTATCCTTGGAAGGGTCCCTGGGGGGACACGGCCTCTGTTAGGGTCCCTAGAGGCGCCACCGTCCCTATGAGAGTCCTTGGGGCGCCGCCACCCCTGTGGAGGGTCTCTGCAAAAGTCCCTGGGGGAGCCACTGTCCCTGGGAGTGTCTATGGGGCCACCACGCCTCTAGGAGGCCTGGGGCGCTGCTGCCCTGGGAGGGGGCACTGTGAAGTCCCTATGGGCGCTGCTGCTGTCCCTAGGAGTGTCTAGGAGGCGCCACTACCGCCCATAGAAAATGGGCCCCTAGGAACGCCACCACCCCTGGGATGGTTCCTGGGGACACCGCCCTTCCGTGGGAGTGTCCATGGATCGCCGACGCCCACTCGGAAAGACCCTGGAGGTGCTGCTGCTCCCGGGAGTGTCGCTGGGTGATCCCTGGGGATGTCACCGCCCCTGGAAGTGTAATATGGAGCTCCACCGTCCCTGAGATGGTCTCTAAATGCCCTGCTGCCCCTGGAAGGGTCCCTCGGGTCGCTGCCGCTCCTGGGAGGGTCCCTGGGCGTGTCGCCACCCCTGGGAGGGTGCCTGAAGGTACCCCCTTCCCTGGCAGGGTCCTTGGCAGCGCTGCCGTCCCTGGGAGGGACCATGGAGGCACCACCGCTTTGAGAGGGTCCCTGGGAACTTACCGCCTCTGAAAGGGTCCCTAGAGATGCCACCATCCCCGGGAGGACCTCTAGGGGAACTGTCGACCTTGAGAGAGCCCCTGGAGGCACCGCCACCCTTAGGAAGGTCACTGGGGGCGCTACTGCACCTGTGAGGGTTCTCTGAGGCGCCATCCTGAGAGGACCTCTGAGAGCACGAGCCCTATAGGGTCCCCCAGAGTGTAGTTTTTGCACTATTTGGAACTCCGGGAGATGCTGAGTTAAATAAACACACACACAGCCCATCACATTTCCAATATCATCGCATTCTGAAGAAGGTAACGGGGAATAGAATCCAACAGGAAAACATAAGTTGAGGTGTTGTGCTGACTGACTGTTCTCTTCTCCTATTGGCTGTAATTTGGCGGGCTAAAAGAATAGTCCACCAATCATAGTTCAGTAAGGGACTGTTGGAAGTATGTAATATATATGAAACA